GCCGTGCGGGAGCAGCCGTGGCGTTGGTGTCGCAGCTCGGCTCCCGCCCCGCGGACGTGGGATCCCGCCCCGTCGCTGGGGAGCTGTTTGGAAGACTGCCACTATGTGGCTTTTTAAAAAAATTATTATTATTATTTGTGTGTGTGGAGTGAGGTCCGTGGTGATGTTTCCATGGAGGAGATCACTCACCACCGTACTGAAGCGGACAATGCCGTAGGGGGAAGTTGGGACGATATCGTGCGGAGAGAGCACGCGAGGGGTCAGTTTTTTAGTTTTTGGGGGGTTTTTTTCTTTTTTTTTTTTCTTTTCCCTTCTAAATTTCCATGAGTTTGAGATGACGATGACTCATGGCTTGGAACGCGCTTCAAATCCCCGAGGTGCTCGTTGCCGCCTACCATCACGTATTGAATTTCTGACATACCGGAGGGATGTCTGCAGAGAAACTCTGATGTGCAATTATAAAACGTTGTAGCTGTATGTTGTTTGCATAGGAGCCATTAGCATGGTATAACCGTGGCAATAACGCAGCTTTCTTCTGGCTGCTGATTTCCCCCGGGCACGGCAGTTAAGCAACTGTGCTTTATCTTTCCCCAGGATGTTGACACATGTGGACCGACAGTGACATCCTTCTCCAGCAATGCTGTCTTCGCTCCCTCCTGCGCTCAGGAGCATCTAGAGAGATTTTTTGCAGAAGGTAGGTCCCGGCAGTGCAGCCGGATGGCTGTCCTTTCTTTTATATTGCAAAAAAAACCCCCTATTTGAATGTTACTAGGGAGAGCAGTAATGAGTCAGATGGCTACTAGTGGCTGCTGGTGAGAGAGGGGATTAACCTTAGCTTGGCTCCCACTTGAATAGACACTCGGGGAAACTCTGTAAAATGGAGCCTGGAAGGACGGTGCTCTGAGTCGCCTTTGAGAGGGGCTTGGCAGTCGCAGGACGTGTTGGCTTGGACTGTGTAGACATGTATTGGGAACAGACCTCTTTCTAAGGAAAACCCATGCTCCTCACCTTCCGTTTTGGCTTTGTCAGCATCCTTGTTTGAAATCTTTTTGAGTAAACGAATTAAAAAGGAAACTCCCATGCAGGGCGCGCACCTAGTATAAACTTCTTGTGTATATTTAAGTTTTGTGCGGGTCTCTTTCCTTCCTGAAACCCTGTATGCATTTAATTTGTGCTGAAATAAACAGCGTGCAGCCTCTGGTACTACCATCAAATTGCTGTCAATATCTACCTTTTTTACCCCCCTCCCCCATCCCTTCCAAACTTTTAATTTGCTTTAATCTTCCAAGAGGATTGACAGGCAGAACTCTCCCAGCAAAGAGTGTAAACTGGGAAACTGAGTACTTGTTTTGTTTTTAACAAGTAAACTTTAAGAGATCTTATGCTTTTTATGAATATGTGGTTACCTGCTGTTCCCTTATGCTGTAACCTCCGGAGTGTCCCTTAAAGGTTTCCTCTGAATCTTTGCAGCTCTCATTAAACCTTGTTTGTTTGCTTTTTAGTGCTAAATCTGTCTACAATATTAGTGACTGAGCAGTTTTTCAATAGATGTGGAGTCAACCTTTAGATGGTTCCTGACTGGTAGTTTTGACCTCAGTTGCATCTTCTTGTCTTCTTCCAGCGCGTTCCTCACCGCTTTTTTTTTTTCTTCTACCAAAAGGGTGTGTTTAACCCTTAACTCCACCATGTGTTTCCCTTTGCAGTGATACTGTGGTATAACAACCTTCCATTTCTGCTGCTGGGTGCTAAAACACAAAATTCCTGGCTTTTGCTTTAAGAGCACTGAATTGCTGGGAAGAGCAGAGGAAGTAAATGAGTTGGGATCTGAGACTGTTCACATGCAAGACTAAAAGGTGTTTTCACTTTCTCTGGATGTATGCTTTAGAGTCACGGCAGTTATACTGAAACCACAGAGTGACTGACACCAGCTTTGTATTAACATGCAACATCTTTACCAGAAATCCTTGAAAATTACCGGTCGTTTGAATACCTTAAATACCGCCTGTCAGGGGTGTGGCTCCCAGTAAAATCATCACCATTTGCTTTGTTGATTGCCTTCCTGAAGCCTCGCTCTCCAGGATCGGTGGAGCCCTGGGCCAGTCCCAGCACTGCAGTGTGTCCCCCTGCGGGACGCCCGGGACACCCGATTGCCTCCGAGAGAGCCCCGCAGCTTCTCCCCTGCCTGCTGCAGTCTGCGAGGGAACTGGGGACAGGTATCCCTGGGAACAACTGCTGCTGTCAGCAGCTTTGACAGAGGAGTTAATGCTCTTAGAGGCACTAATTGCCATGTGAACTTGTGCTCTTGTGCTGAGGGAGAGCAGGGATGTCCCAAGAGCTTTGCTTCCCTCGCCTTAGAGCGCTCTGTGTCCCTTTGCTCCCCTTTAGGCTGCTGTGGAGAGTGCGTCTCTCTGAACTGGTGGTAAGAGCAAAGAAGAAATACAATCCTTAGCACGTTCGGGGTTCGCTTTGCCTTGAGGCAATGGCTCTACTCATTTCACTTACCTGAAGGATTTAATACTCTGCAGGGCTGAATTCCTTTATAAGGAAGGTGCCCAAGTGATCATTAAGTCTCTGGGCAGGTAGGGAAAAACGCCTTCTGTCGCAGCGAAATGAAACCATGCAGCTTGCGTCACTAGAGAGCAAGTAATGTCCCTGAATTGGCAGGTAAGGTACGTAGGGAGGAAAAATGGGTTTTCAACCTTGTCAGGGAATGCAGCGTTCATGAAAACAAAGGGCTGAAAAGCACTGCCCAGAGCAAGGGAGAATGCTGTAGGTGCTGGGTAATTTCCCCCTCTGTTCTCCCAGCTTCCCTGCGCAGCCCTTTTGTGGGTCAGACCCTGAGGCTATGAATCCTGGCTGCTGGACAGAGCAAAACGATGGAGGAGCATCCCCTGGAAATCATACTTGAAAGTATTTTGCATGGAATTATTATAAAATCTAGCAAAGTGCCCTGGATTCCTGGCACAAGCAGGACAGCAGAGCAGAATGTGAAAGGGGTGTGTGTGAGTGCGCGCACATGTGTGCGTGCTCTGTAAGTGCCTGTGATGCTCCTAGCCCGGCTGTGGGAGCTCAGCGCGAAGCCAGCTCAGGAAGCAGTGCGATGGGGAGGTGGGGGATGCCGCTGCAGAGTGAGGAGAGCTCTGTCCCTCAGCATCCTTACTCCTGGCTTTCCAGGGGCACTGTGCTGCCTTCTTGCCTTTCCTCCTGCCCTATATCACCGGAGCCTGGGAAGGATGGGGAGTGAATGCCCCTCTCTGTAAGAAGAGGCAGAGATTGACATTGGGCAGGAGGTTAATAGACAGGAGAGGAGAAAGTAGAGAGGAGGCAAAGGCAGCTGGAGTTACAGCGTGCCTTCGTTGAGGTTGGGGCAGGTTGGGGGCAGAGGTCTGGGGGCTCTGGGGAAGTGGTGTCCCCCCCGGCAAGCAGTCCATGCACAGCACAACTGGCTCCTTCTCATGTCCTCCTACCTTCCCCTCTCTTGCCTGCAGCACCTGCCCTTTGGCCTGGGCTCTGTGTGTGGTGGTTTGTGTTGTGGGATTTGTGTGTGTGTTTGTTTTTATTTTTCCCCCCTTCCCAACCTCTCTGCGCTCTGATTTGTGTAATGCAACATGCCTTTCCCCTTTCAGAGCCCGATGCGCTTTTACGTGAAAGTAAACTGAGGCTGAATCTAACATTTTCTGTGCCCTGCACATGTCAGGCGGCTTACTGTGTGACCCCAACATGACACCTGTAGCCCCTTTTAAAGGAGTGAGTTTAAGGGAAAAGACTGATTGCATGCAGTCTGTTTTCATGTTGGAGCCTTCATAGACTATACTGCAAAACACCCTACGGTGAGCTAGATGGAGGTGATAACACTTCAGAGAGCTGGGTGATGGCTGCTTTTGTGCTGGTGAGGAGAGGAACCCTGTCTGGCAGCACAATTGTGGCGTTCCCCTATCTCGGTCTGCAGAGGTTGTGCATGAGGGTGGCAGCGGTGCTGCACCAGCAGGTAGGGAGGAGGAGGAGGAGCTGCTAATAGGGGGAATGGGGGTCTCTCGCGGGTGGGAGATAGTTATGGCTAAAGTGAGTTAGATCTGACAGTCTAGGACATAAATGTTTGGGAACACACTCTTAAAGTCTTAAAGACTCTCTTAAAGGATTGTCTCTTGTGTGGTCTGACACCTTGAAACTTCTAGTGGAGATATGGACAGGCTTTTCTTTGGTTATTTTCCTTGTTTTTACAGTAGAAATACTAGGCACGAGGACCTGTTTGGACATATGTGTTTAACTGGGAGGAAAGAGCTGATGACACTGGTGTGGTTGTAACCACAAACTAACTGACAGTTTCCTGCTGCTAGTAACTTTCTATAGATATAAACCTCCTTCGTTTGTGTTTGTCTGTCTGTGCTGCTCAAATATCTGAGGAAGATTCCGCTGTTTCTAGGGTCCTTGTTTTTGACAAAGTCTTTGTAGTTGTTTGGGGGATGGTGGTAGAGAGGTCATTACAGAACTAATAAGAAGTCTGGAGTAGTGAAGTGCAGAAGTCTATTTAATGGTCTCATATAACTTAAAAGCCAAGAAGCAGCCCCATTTAATGTGTGTCAGACTGGTTGTGCAATTAAATTTGCATGTACAAAGCTCTATTTCTGGAGGGGTAGGTTAAAATCACATGAACCTACCTATGTGTTTGAGACCTTTTCATCTTGTATTTCCGTGGGATCATTACTTGCTTTTAAATCTCCTTTCCGTCCCCTTTTCCCCTGCCCTTCTCCCCTGTGATGTGTAAAATATGACGGCTGCAAAAATGAGAATCCTTCTTTGCCTGCTGTTCCCATTCCAGCTGGAAAACTTGGACAGATCCTTCCCTTGTGGTTTGTGATACTGTAAATAAAGGCTTGGGAGGTCACACGTTTTCCATGGGGGGGGAGAGGGAGGAGGGAAATTAAAAAAAGCAAAACCCCAAACTGTTCTGTTTTTTGTGGGAAAAACAACTCATTAATACTAAGGGAAAACAATGGAAAAAAAGGGCCTTCACAAAGACTATCTTTGACCAAAGTCGAGACTTGGAGAATCAGGGTCAAAATCTGCAAAGGTATCTTCTCTTGAAGTTTTACAAGAAAAATTATCTGAAAACTGATGGCTCTGAACACAGAGCTCCTGTGATCCGGTGCTCTTTCTGGATGCTTCTGAGAAATTTGTTATCTTTAAAAGTGTACTGACATCATTCTATAAAGGTATTGGTGAGTAGTTTTACCTATGTTCATAATGAGTGGACTGTTTGAATACAGTTACTCATTTGTTTAAATGCCAGTTAAGTGGGTCTTTAAGCATGCATTTGAAGAAATTGTGGTCCTAGGTCTCACCGGCCGTGATGCATCTTTTGGTTCAGCTAGACTAAGTCTCTGCTTATGGTCCAGAACGGTACCTACTGGTCCAGGGCATGATGGGTAGAAAATATTTAATATACACCTGCTCCAGATGATGATGATGTTCTGCCTTCCGAAAGTCAGCACAGAACGACGGTGTGTTCAGGCGGCTGCTTCTGTTGCTGTTCGAGGCTGGCCTCCTGCATCTGGCAGGTTTGGTCTCTTCAGCTCTGTTCCTTTCCATGGTGGTGTTCAAGGCTTTGAATATTTGCAGAAAATACCACTTGGGTTTAAACTTCTATTTCATGTTTTTACTTCAATCCTGTTTTGGATTTACTAAGAAACAAGA